GCTCGGGATGCTTCCCCACGGCCCCTCCTGCCCTGGGCTAGGGAACCCCCGGCCTGCTTGGACAGGTTTCGTGGAAGTGAGGCAAGAGGGATGCCGGATGTGGAGTGGAATGGGTTTGGCTCGGGCGCTGTGCTTGTCACATGCCCAGCGGGGTGTGAAAGGAGTAGACATAGTTGGAAAGGAAAAAGCAACAGATGATGCTGGAAATGATGGAGGATGGAACACGGTGGGGCTTTAAACGCAAATCTTCCCCTTACAACTACTCCTCGATCACCAATTTCTTGTTCCTCTGGGATGTTCTCACTCCACTTCTCTGTGTTGTTTCAGATGGGAGCAGGTGGTGGATCTGACATACTCTCTGCGCCTCGGAGCAAAGCCCAGGCCCATGGAGCAGGATGAGGCTGCAGTAGAGAAGCTTCGGTATGAACTGTTTCCTGGCTTCTGCTATGGTGGGAGACAAGATCCTGTCTCTTGTGACTGCCCACACAGCCTGCAGACCTAGGGGAGAGGGGGGAAGACAGGCATCTCTGCACAGCACAGTCTTGTCCTAGATATGCCTGCAAAAAAGCAGGAAACCGAGCAAGGCAAGCAGGATGTGGACCTTCCTTTTTTGACCCATTAGCCTGGCTGCCTCTGGCTCTCCAGACCCAGAAATCCCTTTTCCCTGCTAGGTTTGTGCCTCCAACTTGGACTTATGAATGTGATGAGGATCTGGTGCATTTCCTGTATGACCACATTGGGAAGGAGGATGAGAACCTGGGCAGCGTTAAGCAGTACGTGGACAGCATCGATGTCTCGTCCTACACGGTGGGTTAAAGGGACAAGGCTACATCAACCCCACTGTGCTGGGGAGCATGGGTACTGCCTGCTGTGCTGCTCTGGCCTGGACTGCACTCTGTTTGAGCATGTGGGAGAAAAACCTGGGGAGTATCATGCAACATGTTGTATAGTGTAGCCCCTGGAGGGACAGTGGTTAGAGAAGCCAGTGCTAATATTAACTACAAATCTGATGTTAGGGAGGATTTGATACTCTGTGCTATGTGTGTGACCCCAGAGCACCTCGGAGAGTCAACCCCAGTGTGCTGTGTGCTCTGCACTCCCGGTGTCTCCCCACAGCCCAGCAAAGGGAACAGGCCAATGCGATACCCTCTGACACTGATATTCATGATGAAAGTAACCACTAAAGAGAAGTTAATCCTACACTCACTTCCATTCACTTGCCCTCTTCCAGGAGGACTTCAATGTGTCATGCCTGACCGACAGCCATGCCGACACATACTGGGAGAGTGATGGCTCCCAGGGCCAGCACTGGGTGCGGCTCAACATGAAGAAAGGCACCATTGTCAAGTGAGTCATCTCTCTCTGCCCTACAGAATCATTTCTGCTCTACATGCTGGCTAGTGACTGGGGCAAGCTTTGCCACTCCCTTTCTGCCTGATTGTCATGGCCCAAATTTGCCCTGCACTCCCTGCCCTTCAGCCCTTACTCTGGCTCTGGGCTTGAAGTTGATTTTAGCATTGTCACAGGTACTTGGGAATCCCAGCTTGTAACAACATGACTGAGTGATGAGAGGGAGTAGCGATAGGTGTTCAGGTGTAATTGCCTTCTTAATGTCCTGCTTCCCTCTGCAGGAAGCTGCTGCTGACAGTGGATACCACTGATGAGAACTTCATGCCCAAGCGGGTCGCTGTGTATGGGGGCGAGGGGGACAATCTGAAGAAACTGAACGATGTCGGCATTGATGAGTGAGTGGTGGAGGTGCACGCATGGCTCTTGGCTCTTGCAGGGGCCCAAGCTGTTGAACACTGGCCTTAAGCAGGCATGCAGTGCGAGCCAGGCTCTCTGGGATGTGGGTTCACTCTGCCTGCAATAGCATGGTACAGTCATCAGGGCTCTCCTCATCCGACTGTGGGACACATCAGAATCGTGGTACCTGGACCTGAGTCACCGGCAGGTTCTGGCATTCAGCTGTAACTGTAAGCAAGAACTGAGTTCTTGCCACAGGCTCCCATTTCAAAAGATGTAAACCGTCTTCCTGTATAAGTGTCCAAGTGGATTTTAGCAGGATGGGTGAGGGAACAACCCTTTAATCCTCATCTGTTTTGTGTTTGCAGGAGCTATATTGGGGATGTGTGCATCCTTGAGGACATGACAACACACCTGCCTGTCATTGAAATCCGGATTGTGGAGTGCAGAGGTAGGGCTGATTGTTGTGATTGCATCCATAATGCACCTGTAAAATACTGTACGTTAGGAGTTTGTGCTGTGACTTGTACTTCTTCTCCCTGTGGGCTGTTTTAGATGAGATTGAAAAGAACCATGAGAAACTCCTGGGAGTTCTGAAGTTTTGCAAGTTCTCAGCTTTCATCTTATCTTTCTCTGCCTTCAATAATTTAATTATTTTTCTCCTGTAAATACCCTGCTTCTTCTTCACAGAGGTATTTGAAGCTCCGAGTGCCCAGCCCCAGAGCTGGTGGAGCTGGTACATTCCTACTGTTTTTGCTTATAGACCTCCTACACTTTATTTAAGGCTTGCTTTCTTGTGATCTTGGCATATAATTTATGGTCTTCCTTGGCAGATGATGGGATTGATGTTCGGATCCGAGGCATCAAAATCAAATCCTCCCGACAGAGGGACTTGGGGCTCAGTGCTGACATGTTCCAGTTGCCCAATTTGGTGCGTTACCCTCGCCTAGAAGGGACTGACCCTGACCTGCTGTACCGACGGGCTGTGCTCATTCAAAGGTACTGTGAGGAGGGGAGCAGACAGGTACCACTGCCTGCAGGGATTGATGCCATCTCCAGCATGTACATGGCTGGAAGCTGTAAAACTATGACACTCCTCTTGAGACAGATGTCCTGGACACTGGAGAAAATGGCAGCCATTTGGGGACAAAGTGGGTTCTCTGGGGTGGCTCCCTCGTGCTTTCAGAGGAGTTCTGTAGCTCAAGTTTACAGTGTCTTGTGTGTCACAAGCACAATATATCTGTGCAGTGTAGGGGGCAGGTGTGTGCAGAGGGATGCAAAATCACTGCAGTGCCCAGGGAGTGGGAATTTAGTACCAAAGGTTCCATGAGGTAAAAAACTATGCTGGGTTTGGTTTGGATCAGTTATTTTTCTGCTTGTGTTCAGGGATGTGTGGTCTGGAATAGACTTGTGCAGATCCCCATCGCTCCTTGTTGCAATACCTTCTTCTTTGGGATTTAGGTTCATCAAGCTCCTTGACAGTGTCCTGCATCACTTGGTGCCAGCCTGGGACCACACTGTTGGCACATTCAGCAAGCTCAAGGTGAGCAGTTGGCCCTGTGTCTTGTTGGGGCCTCAGTCTGGCAGGGTGATGATGCCCATGTTGTGGTAAGGGAGGCAGCCAGGGCTTGTTGCTTTTAAACCAGCTGGAGGGAAATACCTTCCTGAGCTCAAGTCACTAAGACTGTGAAAGGTGATATTGTTTATTTTCCTACTAAACTGCTGATGTAGAAGCATGTAGCTGTAGGCTAACAAGTGGACTCAAACCAGAACATTTCACCCTCAAATCCAAGGGACTTGGATCATAGCAGCACTGGGCATGCAAGCTGGATCCACATCCCCTCCAAGATCTCAGCCCAGGACGCTCTGTTCCTGCGCTTCCTGCCAGCAGCTTTGAGCTGGCTTGTCCAAACATTAAGGCTTTTACCAGTAACATTCTTCCTGGCTTTAATAAGCTTTTGCTTTTCATCCTTTACATAGTGCTGAGTTCATCCCTCCAGTTGTCTGTTTTCCTTGTATCCTCTCCAAGAATACACATGCTGGACATTACCAGGATAGCCCTATTCTGTGGGCTAGTGTCAGAAAGCCTAGTCAGAAAGCACTGTAATTCCTGTGCCAGGTCAACATGGACCCAAAGCATTTGGGGTTTTTTGTTTGTTTAGAGGAGCTGAATTTGATTACAACTAAAAGGGATAGTAAGACCAATGTTCTGGTGAGAGTGAGGGTAAAGGAAACTCTAAGCAACACTGTAGTGTGAGCATCAGATAATAGCTGGTGGATTGAGGGCTGAGCTTCTGCATTAGGGCAGAATGCAGAATCTTTCAGAGGCAGAGGGGAAGCAAATACTGTCAATGAGAATGTCTCTGTGTGGGAAGGCCCTGGGAAAGGGAGGTGCGATGGCTTCAGCAGAAAGTAGATGACATGTTTTGCTCCCTGTTGGCAGCACATCAAGCAGTTCTTGCTGCTGTCCAAGAAGCGCACGGCTCTCATTACCCAGTGTCTGAAGGACTCGGAGACCAGCAAGCCCAACTTCATGCCAAGGCTCTACATTAACCGGCGCCTGGCCATGGAGCACCGGGACAACCCTGCCCTGGACCCCAGCTGCAAGAACGCTGTTTTCACCCAGGTACTGTCCCTCCTGCAAGGGTCCCTGCTGCTCTAGGGAGACTGGGGAATCCCAAAATCAAAATGATCTGCATTAGGATGGGTGGAAGGGAGAGCTTGGAGCTGGAGACAGACCAAGCCTTCAAGGCTTCTTCATGTGACTCACAGGCTCCGTAATTACAGGTGCTTAATGGTCCCATAAGGAATAACATCTATGAGGGATTTGGGATCTCTGAGTTGAAATCCGTACTCTATCCTGGATGTTCTCTGTGGCATGTTGTTTGTGGAGAGTGTAACAATCCTGTTGCACTAAAAAGGCAGCAAATAATTCTTGTGTGACAGCAGTCAAGTAGCTGCATAGAGTTCCTATGTTGTGGTTTTACACACAGCAATCCTGATCTTCTGTGTGCATTGTCTCCCTACCTCCAGTAGATCTGGGGCTCCGTGCATGCACAAACACCCCAAACTGCAGTGAGACTTGATACGTTTGATGTACCTGCCTTCATGTGGCATCACTTCCCCTGGAGAGGGGATACCAACCTTGATTGTCTCTGCTTGTTGCAGGTATATGAAGGTCTGAAACCCTCAGACAAGTTTGAAAAGCCTCTAGATTATAGGTAAGCAGTGTCTCGGGAAGGGGAGGCACCATGCAGAGCTGGGAGCTGTGTCCTGTTTCAGCAGGGTGTTTGGGAAGCCCATGTGCTGTACTTTGGAGAGGGCTTGCTAGGACAGGAGTCATGAGATCAGGGCCCATACCCCAAGGTGTCATCTCCCTACTGAGGATGCAGCTGTCTCTGGAGATTGAGATGTTGTCCTGTCCTAAACTCAGACTGTTCCACCCTAGTCCCTTGATGTCCCTGCTGTGACTGTCCCAGCACCTCCTTGTCTTTGAGCAGCACCTCAGGTGATGCCTGGTTCTCCACAGGTGGCCGTTGCGTTATGACCAGTGGTGGGAGTGCAAATTTATCGCAGAGGGCATCATCGACCAAGGTAGGGGCTGATGAGGTGACTGTTGCTCTAGGTGCTTTTGTTTGGTTCCAGTGTTAATTCCTGTGGAGGAGAGAGGGAAGGCAGGTTGCCTTGTCCTGCCACCTGTGGCTGTGTCCCAGATAAAAACTGCTGTTTGCTGGGAGAGGGACCAAATTTCCATTAGTCACTAACAGCACCTTTACCAGTGCCAGTGATCCTTCTGGCTGTTCTCCACAGGCCAGGCAGGGATGTTATGTCTCTTGTCTTACTTTCTCCAGTGCCATAAGACTCTAGTAGGAGCCTTCTGCTCAACCCAGGGCCAGGTTGGACCAGAAATCCTCATCTTTGCTCCATAACTCTGAAGATCAGCACATGGGGAATTCACATCACTAAGAATGCCCTTCTTTTGGGGTTGCAGGTGGTGGTTTTCGGGACAGCCTAGCAGACATGTCAGAGGAGCTGTGCCCCAGCTCAGCAGACACCCCTGTGCCTCTGCCCTTCTTCGTGCGCACATCCAACCAGGTGCTGTGCATTGGGGTGTTTGGGGCAAACCCTTCCGTGCCTGGCAATGCAGAGCTGTCCCTGTCCCCTTGCATGCTAGGGACATACCTACCTGAAGCTTTTCTTTGTCAGGGGTTTGCTTTGTGGCATTTCATTTTAGAATATGCTGACAAGTGCCTGGATACTAGTCTGTCACTGGGAATCTTGCCAAGGGGGATGGGGGTTTAGCCCACTCCTGCTGTGAGAAGTGCCCAAAGGCATGGCAGGAATAGTTTGTGGTGTTTCATGCTGTGCTGAAATTATGACTTAGAGTTTTGCCTCTCACTCCTACAGGGTAATGGCACTGGAGAAGCCCGGGACATGTATGTCCCCAACCCCTCTTGTAGAGACTTTGCAAAGTACGAGTGGATTGGGCAGATCATGGGAGCAGCTCTGAGGGGCAAGGAGTTTCTGGTAAGTTTTCAGCCCCATCCCTCTCAGAAGATTTGCTGCAAAGGAAGTTGATAGCCCTCTCCTGCAGCCTGTCTAACAGGGCATGGAAAGGCTCTGTGGTCATATACTGGGAAAAGAGGTATTTGGGGCAAACTAGTTTGGAGAACTCACAGTCTGATTTTTGGGGGATGATGCTGAGAGCTTGGGAGATAGTGTTTGGTCTCTACTCAACTATGATGAGTTCTGCATGTAGAGGGAGAAGTAGGGAAGGCTCTTTGTGTCTGCATTGTTGAGTCCTATCTCCGTCTTTGGTGAGGTCTCATTTTGACACAGACTCAAAATCTCTTTTCTTCTTCAGGTCCTGGCTCTTCCTGGCTTTGTATGGAAACAATTAACAGGGGAAGAGGTCAGCTGGAGCAAAGACTTCCCTGCTGTGGACTCCGTGTTGGTGAGAGGGACTGGGAGGCTGTGCCTATCCTATTCCTTGTGGCACTCAGCAAGGTGCTGATTTGTGTCCCTGTCCTCATGTGCTTGATTCCTACTATGATATGTCAAATAAACACAACAAAGGGCAGCTTTCAGCTATAAGGATGCACCAAATGCTCTTACAGAGGTGCAGCCATGCTGACTGCTGCTTTAAGCATGCAATGGCCCAAGGTCTGCTAAACATCTTTAGGGCAACATGTTGTGTCATTGTTGCTTGTCTGGGAAGGGGGAAGATGAGGACTTGGGCACATCACTGCTCTCTGGCCATCTCTCTAACATGGACTTACTTGGTGCCTGGACAGGTGAAGCTCCTGGAGGTGATGGAAGTCATAGACAAAGACACATTTGAGTTCAAATTTGGGAATGAGCTGACCTACACGACGGTGCTGAGTGACCAGCGCGTGGTGGAGCTGATCCCCAACGGCAGCAACACCGCTGTGCGCTACGAGGACCGCAGGGAGTTCATCCGCCTGGTGCAAAAGGCTCGGCTGGAGGAGAGCAAGGAGCAGGTGACACTGTCCCACCCTGTGGCCGGTCACTGACTCCCAGACACCTGCCCCCAGCCTGTTTCTGGTAAAATGCACTCTGGTTAGTGTCCCTCTGCTCATTAGGGCAATGATATCCACCCCTTTCAGTGCTGAGCTGTTGAGAAGCAAAGTGGCTTCTGGTATCACTGGTGATACTGGGGTTTTATTCACAGCTCTGACACAAGCTTTCTCAGTGAACGGAGGGTGCATCTGGGATCCTGTCCTGTTCCTTCATGTTCCTTGGAGCATGTGCTCAGCAGTCACATGGCTTGAAGAGTCCCTAGGCTTAACCTTGAGTCAGGGAAATGGGCAAGACATGCTGCTTACCTGCCTTGCCTCCTTTTCAGATCATGGCCATGCAGGCTGGGCTGCTGAAGGTGGTGCCCCAAGCTGTTCTTGACCTCCTTACATGGCAGGAGCTAGAAAAAAAGGTCTGTGGAGACCCTGAAGTCACAGTGGATGCCCTGAAGAGGCTCAGTAAGTGAAAGGCTTTGCTGAAAACTCTCTTCCTGAAAGCAAAACTGTTTTCTGTCTGTGCTGGCACAAGGAGAAGTGTGGGAGGCCAATATTAGCCTTTCTTACAGTGAGAATATGGTCCTGTGTACTTCTTGCCTTTAGCTGGGTGCTGATGAGGACAGGGGTGTCCTTTTGACTCCATCCTGGGCCTCATGGGAGAGGCTGGGTCATCCCTTGGTTGCCAGTATCTGAGCCCCTGTGGAGCTGAGATGTGGATCTGGCTGTGCTTCCTGGGAGGGGCCTGACCATCTATGTTTCTTGCACCTTGAGTCTGTGTGGTCACACCCTGCAGGCACCTACTGCCAAGGAGAGAGGAGCTCAGATCTTTAATAAACTCTTTTCTGTATCCTTTGTGACAGCTCGGTTTGAGGACTTTGAGCCACAGGATACTCGTGTTCAGTACTTCTGGGAAGCACTCAATAACTTCACCAATGGTGAGCAATTTTCTCTGTCCGTGCGTATCTCGTGCCATGACAGCTCCTGCCTGGTGGCTGGGAGCTGGGAGGGAAACCATTCAAGGAAAGCAAGGAGATAAGCTGAAGGGACTGCTCGCTAGTGCTGGGTTTGCTGATGTCTTTGCTTTTTCTTCACAGAGGATCGCAGCCGCTTCCTCAGATTTGTCACTGGCAGAAGTCGCCTTCCAGCACGGATCTACATCTACCCAGACAAGATGGGGTAAGTCCATTGTTCTGTAGGCTGCAGGGCTGACAGATCCCACACCACAGGGGTGGGTTGTCTGGGCTCCCTGCCTCACTGGCGTGATGGTTCTAACAAGTTTGTCACCTTCTCCCCAGCTCAGAGACAACAGATGCTTTGCCAGAGTCATCCACCTGCTCCAGCACTCTCTTCTTGCCCAACTATGCCACGTAAGTTTGGGTGCTTCCCTGTGTCTGGAGGACTGTGTGTGGGCTCTCTTTTTAACCTTGGTGCTGACCCATTGGGTCCCATCACTTTGCCATACTTACATCCCCTGCCTGTCCCACACGGCTGCTGAGTTTCACTCTGTGAGCCCCTGGTGAAGCATATCCTCCATTTCAGAAAACATCTTGTCCTCTCAACTGGAACATGCAGCAATGGCAGCTCCTCCTTACCTTTATCTTTTTTTCCTTCCTGCCATCCCTAGAGCCAAGGTATGTGAAGAGAAGTTGCGCTATGCTGCCTATAACTGCGTGGCCATTGATACAGATATGAGTCCGTGGGAAGAGTGATGTTGCAGCCTGACCAAGCAGCATGGACAATTGTTCAAGAAAACCATGCAGTGGGAAGTATTCCCTTGTCCCCACGGGATGTGTATATATATAATAAATATATAGGTGTGAAACCTGGCTCCCCGCAGTTGACATGAAGGGTTGGGTCTTCAACAAGGTTGGGAGCTAGCTTGGATTGTAAATGTGATTGTGATGATGGAACCCTGGCTGAGCCCTCCTGCATCAAAAAACTGCTAGGCTTTTGTAATGAGTTTCTTCTCCACATCTTCTTGTAGCTCACAATGCTCACTCCTTCCAGGCTGCTCTTGGCTCAAACAAAAGTGGGGTAAGGAGACAGAGCTGCACAGCAGCTTACAGCACAGGACAGAGATCTGTGAGTGGCTGCTGAGACTAGGGGGTGGCCAAGATGCTCAGTGTGTCCTGACCATACTCTGTTGCCTTGTTCCTATTCTCACATGAGGTCAATGGAAATTAGATCATTCATTTAGGATTAAGAAGAATGGGGCAGACTGGTGGCAGGTGCTGCAGGGGTGCCTTTGGCCACCAGGTGTCATAACAGACCTGCACAGCAGGGCTGTGGGAGATTCCAAAGGGACTCCCATGCTTTTACGTCACACAGAATGTGAGTTCCTGTCATTCCTGGCACCTTTACACAGCAGCGACTGCTGGGGAAGCTGCTTCCTCACAGTGAGTGGAAACTGTCTGCTTCCCTTTAGTTCTGCATCCAGCATGCTGGTGGCCTGGCAGCTGTTCTCCAGGCTCTTTGAGCCTCAGTTTACCCCTGAATGACAGTATTACAGCTACTCTCTTCTAGTTCTCATGATGATCTGCCATCAGGGCCAAATTCATCTTCCAGACTGCAGAGGTTAAAGCAGGCTCTGCTCCCCCCTATCATCCATGGGAAGGGACATGGAGGTTTCAGGTGAATAGGAAAAGCCTTTGCCCTAGAGCAGTATAGAAACTGGATACCAAGAGTTGGAGCTCCTTGAGCAGATGGACACATGCTCTGTGAGTGAGGAGTGGGCAATAAAACCTTCACAACTATTTGGAAGTGTTTGTGGATCTTCCCAGCTCTGGGCAGGGCTGGTCATTGCCTAGCACTGGGAGCTGCTTGATGTTAGTCTGCATTTATACCTCCAGCTCCATCTTCAGCCTGTGTGCTCTGTTGGACCTCCACTACTGTGAGTCACAGAATCACTGGGGCTGCATTGGAGCAGGGCTGATGCTGTGAGTTCAGATCAATCCTGTCTTAATGTTTCATGGCTTTTTCTTCTCTGTAGAAGAAGCCTGTCATCCAGAGATCACTTCCAGTTGTAAATAAAGTCCTTCTCTTCACGAGTTTCTTTTGAAACATGTATTCCCAGAACTGCCAAGGAAGGTTGTTACTAAAAGGGATGTAGGAGCAGGAAGGAGCATGTGCTGCCATCTGCATCGTGGTGAGTGGAGAGAGCACAGGGTGAATTAGGGAAGCTGTTTATGGCAGCCCTTGCCTGCAGCAGGGCCTTCCATGCTCAGCTGGGTGGGTGTGAAGTCCTGTCTGCTGGAGGGAGTCTTCTGTAAATCCTAGAGCTGTTCCAGAATTGATCTCTGTGGCTTTGTGGCTGATTTCAACCAGCAGTGTGAATGGGAACAGGGGCGAACCAGTGCAATACTTTTCCGTGCTGGTGGCTGAGTCACTTCCTAGGGTGTCTGTTTTAAATGGGCATGAGTAAGCTGGTGAAAGGACTTTGATCTGCTGCCCTGCCTTCAGTCAGGAGTGTTGAGGAAGAAGCCTGCAGCAGTGAGCTGGGATTTGAAATAAGCCATCTGAAAAGGGACTGACATTGGGATGGAATTGATACTGCTTTTTTCCAACCTTGTCCTCTTACCTCTACCGGACATCAGCAGGAGGCCACATTATTAACTGAGCAGAATTATAAGCAGCAATAAAATAGACCGCTCTCTTTATTGCTGGGCAGGGGTTGGTTGATAAGTAGTTCAGGGTGGGATGGATAGGATGGCCCTAGTCTTTGATGGAGGGTGAGCTGATGTCACCTGCTGGAATGGGCAGGTTAGGAGCCAGCTAGGGCTGCTTGGGGTGATCAGTTTTAGGGGAACAAGCACCTCTGGCTCCCCTACCCTTGGAAGCAACTGCAGCTGAAGGAGAGTAGCTGAGGCTATTACAGACATATACCCAGAACACTTCAGGTTTCTCACTGAGATGTGTTTAGACAGCTCTGTTCCCTCTCATTATCCACATACACAGCTCCAGCCTTCCATGATGAAGAGAGGGCTGCTGTGCAAGGCAACACAGAGAGCAGAACCTGGCTGAAGTGGTGGGATCCTTCCCTAGAAGCATTGTGGCACCTCTGTCTTTGGAGATGCTCAAGACTTCTTGTACAGCCCTGGGCACTGTGATCAACCTTCCAGTCTCATCCTGCTGGGTTTAGATCTAGGCCCTCCCTAACCTGAAGCACTTGATGACTATGGAGTTATCAAGTAGTTTTTTCCCACATTTCCTGCATTTCTCTACTCTTCCTTCCAGCAAGGTCTTTTAGCATCTGAGACCTCTTACTTCCTGCCAGTGTGTCCTGCCCAAGGGCTTGCTGGATTCTGGGGAGAGGATCTAGCTGGTGTCAGGGATTTCTGTTTAAAAGATACTTGTAGTAACAGGACTCTGGCCCTAGCAGAAAGGGAATCACCCAGGATGATCTGGATTTAACTCCTACAAGCATACTGAGAAAACCATTTTTTTTACCATATAAACCATTGTTTTACTGTCTGTTTTGTGTTATCACCATACACATGTTGGAGAATTGCAGCAGTTGCCGCTGTGGTGGTGTACTGGGGTGAGAGACCTGTGAAAGCCCCTCTAGTAGGGAGAGGAGCCCATTGCAGCAGTGAGTTTGTTTGGTGCATGGTCAGAGGGTCTGGAAAAACATGGCAGCTGTGGAACAATGCCAAGATAACACACTAATTGTGCTGTTGAGTTTGCTGTGCAAAGGTAAGCTGGGAAGAAGGAGCTGGGAGTGACCTGGATGTCCTCTGCGTGATCCTCTCATCTGCAGCGTTTTAAAGCCAATCACAAACTGAATGTCTGCTGTGACAGCCCAGCAGATTGTGGAAGAGGTCAGTCTGGCTCAACTCTGGCCAATCTTGGGGCCCAAAATAGGTGTTAGGTCAGTGCTGGGTCCTGTTTCTTCTCTGATCTCTAAAGCTGTGGGTAGGAACCCTGTTCTGTTGTGTTTGACAAGGCACAAATCAAGTGCCCCTGCCCTGGAGTCCTGCTGCATGTGGCCTGGGGCAAGAGTCCCAATTATCAGGAAGCAGCAGCTGCATGTCCTCGCCCCAAGAACCCGTCTCAAATCAGTGGAGATCGATTTTCAAACCAGTGCCATCCTAAGGAAGGTGCTGGTGTCTCTGTGCTGCTGAGGAGCATCTCCATGTGCCAGAGATGCAGCTCTACAGGGTGAGTAGGGGTGAGCTGGGGGAAGGAGTGATGCCATCATGGCTCTGATGCCATGTAACCACTCGCTCTCTCCTGCCTTCAGCTTGCTGGATTGTGATAGAATAGTGTCAGGTGATCAATAACGCACATGTAGTTAGCTGTTCTTGTTATGCTACTGCTACCCTGGAGTATGACAAACTCTTAGTAGTTTGACAGGTTCTGTCTGTTCCCTGCCTTGTGTAGGATCTAGAATAAAATGAATGAACTAACTGCTCCTGGCCTTCCTGATGATTTCTCAGGTCTGCCTGGGGCTCCTGTGTCCTTCTGTTGGGTTAAATAGTGGATGTGACACTTGGGGACATGGTTTAGTCATAAACATGGCAGTGCTGGGTTAGCAGTTGGACTCTATGAACTTAGAGGTCTTTTCCAGCCTAAATGATTCTGTGATTCTAAGTAGCAATGAAGACTGGTGTTGTGAGAGGCAGCTGGAGGTGAAGCAGAAATTGGCCCTGCCATGTCTTGCACACAAAGTAGTGTCACACAGGTGACTCAGAGTACTAACTGGCTTAACCCTTTACAGCAGCTCTGCAAACCAGTGGTACAGGGTGACTGGCTGCAGAAGGAGGGCCCAGGACCCTCCTGGCTATAGTTACTGCAGGTAAAAGCAAGGCCCAAGTCTGCATTTATTCTGCATCGTGGTTCATGGCAAGGCAGGTGGGCATTGCTGCGGTGAGACACAGTCATGCCTGTTCAACAGGTGACAATGCAGGGATGAACAGCTGCTGGATCTCTCTGCACTGTGCCTTTGCAGAGAGGGATGGAGCTGGACTCTGACCTGCCAGGAGAGCAGGCAGGCACCAGGGAACCTTTGAGCTCTGCCATCTGCTTGTTTCATGATCCTTCAACTCAGCCCTTTGTGCCCAACCTGAAGAAATTAAGGTAGCATGGGGTGGAGCTGAGTTGCTCTCTGCCATCGCCTTGCTGTGGAATGCAACAAGCAGCCATGACACGGGGTGGCACACCCCATGTTCAGGGCAGGGTGGGGGAGGTGGGGTTGGGTGCTTTTGGGTGTAATGGCCTCACTCCTGCTGCCAGGATGCCTCTGCCACCAGGGATAAAGCTGTTCTGGGCAGGGAAGCCTGTCCTCCTCCCCAGCAGTGCTTGGAGCATCTCCACCTGCCCAGGGCAGGGATATAACAGCCAGAAGCTGGCTCTCCCATACCAGAATCCCCACTAACCTCTTTTCCCTATCCAGGCTGGAGATGTAGCCCTGTGCCCTGATGGCACAGGACTCCCTCTCTGCTTGTCGGAACGCAGGCAATGACAGAGATGTTGGAGGCCGGGACAGAGCAGATGCTGAAGTGGGCGTAACAGAGTCACATTTTGGCAAAGGGGGCCCGGAACTGGAGACGGGAGCGCCTGCGGCCCGAGAGTGATGAAGAAGCGCTGGGGCGTGCCCGGGGCACGGGCGGAGCGGCGCCCGCCTGGCGTGGACGCGGCAGCTGCGAAGTGAGCGCTGCCCGAGGCGGGGCGGCGCCGCAGGGAGGCGGGCACGGCGGCCCCGCCGGAGGCGCCCCGGCCCGGCGGGCACTCCCGGGCGGGCACGGTCGGGACAGCCCGGGGCGCAGCGTAGCGGCGCGGAGCCGGTGCCCGGAGCGCGATGAAGGCGGGCGGGGAGGCGCCGCA